CATGGATTTACCATGCCAAAAAACTGGGAACGTTCCATTTCAATTTAATGTGACTTAGTTGAGCAACCAAATCTGTGCCTGTAAGTTTGTGCTGAGTTGAAACTAGAGAGAAAGAGAAATGTTAATTCAACAGGCTTCTAAAAATAAGTAATTCTGAGTAATGTAGTACCATAAGTGTATTATTAATTTGGTAGTTTCAAGCAAATTTAATTTAAAAAGAAAAATAAAAGTGAATGCTTTAGTCCTCCAAGCAGAGTTGACTGTGTGCCTGTTTTATATTTAGTTTTGTCTTGCACTTATTATCAGTGAGGTTGATGGTTGGACTAGATGATCTTAAAGGTCCCTTGCAACCTAGACAATTCTATGATTTTGTGATTCCATAGTTAAAATTTAATGTCAGCTATCTAGCTACACTCAAACCTCTTCCTTTGCTGTAAATTTTGAAGCATTTTATAGAAGCAATAAAAAGTTGACATCCTAATAAATTATAAATTAAAAATATTCAATTTTTTACTTTAACATCTTCATCTTGTTACTGAGTCTTGGTTTAATGTTACTTCAATAGCAAATTCTCAGTGTGTAACTGCCATAGTTTGTACTGAAATGGTAACAGATCCTTAATAACACAGTTCAACAGAGCTTTCCAGCAAATGTCTATGAAATTCCAGTTGTAAGCATTAAAAAAAAAAAAAAAGTATAGAAAAAATGCATAAGTCATTTTCCTTGTGAAAAGTTGAGAAAGTGGCCAGTGGGGCCTGAAAGTCATTGAGTGACTGGGGTGGGCATCCCATTAAGCCAATTTTTCACTTCGTTTGAACTGTTTTAGGTTTTTGAGCATTAAAAAAAACCAAACAGTATAGAAAAAATGTGTAAGCCATTTTCCTTGTGAAAAGTTGAGAAAGTGGCCAGTGAGGCCTGAAAGTCATTGAGTGACTGGGGTGGGCATCCCATTAAGCCAATTTTTCACTTCGTTTGAACTGTTTTAGGTTTTTATCATTCTCAAATTGTTCCTTTCCAAATTAACTGCATTTCAAAGGAAGTCAGAGCTTTGGTTACCAGCAGGTTTGTCCCTCTCCTCCCTCTCTGTGCTGCTGCTCCACACTGGGCTAATTTCCTTGTTTAGGGTGAGAAATCTTGTTTCCAAATTAGACTTAAATTCTCCCGTTTTATTTGTTTTTTTGTTTTTTTGTTTAATATTTTTGGTTAAATGTTATCACAGAAGGAAAAGCAGTCTCAGGATAGGATGGTGGGATAGAGGAAGAATGTTTTAGCTTCTGGCTCCTTGTGCCTTTCCCAGGAGAAGGGAATGGAAATCAGTGATTTAATCTGCACCCGCGTTTTGGAAGCCACTATTTGCCATTGGTTCTTTGTGTTATCTTTGTAATTACAGAGTGTATGATTCAGCTCTAATAACACACTGCTCTTGAATCATACCGTTAAGCCTGTGTGATTTGTGTGCAGGATTTGACACATCTGGTTTGGTCTCGGTGTGGTTTTAGTCGTGGTTCCGTGGGCTCCATCATCCCACGGGGAAGGAAGCAGTCTGCAGGGCAAACACAGAGACAGCACAGAAAAAAAGCAGTTCTGGGTGTATTTATGTAAGAATAGAGTTTCAAACTTCCCTCAAGTAGTAGAGTTAAGATATATCTGTCAGACAAATTCTCTTAGAGCGGATTTATTGGCTTTTTAATCCTGGTTTTGGTGTCAAAACCGCTGTTCTGGTGGACAGAGGTTTAGCAGGAATTAGACACAGCTAGTCCATCAGACACAGGCTCTCAAGGCCAGAACGTGTGAAGTGTGTGTTGGGATGCTGACAAATTTCTCTCTTTATGTGCCATTGTTTTCAGAAATGAGAGGGCTGTTCACAGCCGCGAGGGCTGGTTGGTATTTGCAGAGCTTTGGGAGTTGACCAATTCTCTTCAAATTGAAAGCTTGTCTGATTTAATTTCATTGTGCATGTGGTCTCATTCCTCTACTTGGAACTGCGTAAATTTGGCTTTTGCCAAATTGTGTGTGATCAGGGTAGGATGTAAACCTCAGAAATGGGCTTTGAAACCTCTCAGTAAAGGTATTTGACAGCAGAGTCCACGTGAGGGGTGTCTGTCTCCGATCACCTGACGTGATTTAGTCTTACAGAAAGTGAACTCTTCTTTAGAGGAGGCTAATTAATTATTTTCTGTTATATATCTCTGCTGCTCTGCTTGGACGCTCCATCTAATGCCAGTAAAACATCCTCCAGAAATAAGTATAAACCTAAAGCTGCCAATTGCTGGAACTGAGCTCGGAAGCCGATTGTTAATTTGAATTGCCGAACAGATGAGGGTGATTGTTCTTTATTGGAAATCTGTCAGTTGCTATCATTGCTAGAAATCTGTGGCTTTTATAATCCCCTCTCATTTTACTGTTGGATTGATTTCAATTCTCTGTCTGAATCCTACGGTATGAGTTTCTGAGAAAATGATAAAAAAATCAAGGCAAATATACGGGGCTTTTTTTGCCCATTTAAAAACTTTAGTGCAATTATTTCATTGATGCAGGGACCAAACACTGGTGTTGGGGGCTGGCACCCAGCATGGCGAGAGAGCTGCCCGGTACTAGCTATCCCTGGGATAGATCTGCTCTATTTGGTTGAATTATGAGAGGCTTAAAACTGCATTTTTCTGAGCCTTGTTGACTTGGCATTAAATTTTACAAAGACTGTCCATGTTGAAATTGGTGTGTCTGCTTATGGCTTCTTTCTGCCAAACAGAACTGAGAACATCCACTTCTGTCTGGTGTTTTCTGGTTGGTTGTTTCTGACGGCTCTAGTAAGTGAAAGATGAAGTGGAAAGGGAAACATAATTTGTAATTATTTTTTTTATCCTCATCAGCACTACTACAAAGTTGCCTTCATCCTTACCTTATCTCTAGATTTTTGTAGTTCGAAACTACTGTGGAAAGAGAACATCTACTTCCTTCATTCATCGAAAAAAATGAATCTGCTGTTAGTATTTTTTTCCCCATGCAGGCATTGTGGAACATACAAAACCAACTTTCTTCCACTTGCTGACATATGTTAGCCTTTAATTCTCCATTTATACGCCAACAGAAAGAACCTGAGTCCTCCAACTCGGAAAAGAAAGAGTAGTGTTAGATTTGAGCTCTTCGGAGCTGAGATTCCCTTGCTCTTGGGTTATGAGGAGATGTGACTTGGACCAGATGGAGCTGAATTAGTTCTCCAGTGTTTGCTCATACCCAGCCATGAAGGATCCCTCAGGAAAGAGATGGGGAACTGCTTAAATGAAGAATCCCTTCAGGCTCAGTTAGAGCAGTGTGGAGTGCTAGTGCTGCAACACATTTGAAAACCCAGGTGCACGTTGGCTTCAGAGCAGTGTGGAGTGCTAGTGCTGCAACACATTTGAAAACCCAGGTGCACGTTGGCTTAAAATTGACTTGTCTCTGCTATCAGAATTTGAATTTTAGATGTTTTAATCAAACCATCTCCAGCCTGCTGTCTTGGCTTCTTCTCACAGTTTCCTTGGCCATTGAGTGTGATGTCTTTGAAGAACAGTCTTTCATCCTCTTCTGACAGATTTCTTTGACTGATGCTACTGTCTTGGCTTCTTCTCACAGTTTCCTTGGCCATTGAGTGTGATGTCTTTGAAGAACAGTCTTTCATCCTCTTCTGACAGATTTCTTTGACTGCTGCGATATGTGTCCCTGTTGTCTGAGGAAGCCCACGTTCATCTGTTTTACTCTATATTGACTGTTAAGACTTGCACGTAACACAAGTGGTATTAGAGGCTTCAAAATTTTCTGCTGAGGAAGGCTACAAGTTCTGGAAGCAAAAAGCAGGAACCTCTGAACTGGGATTGCCAGAACTGAATCCTGACTGTCCTCTCCTGCTTCCTTTCCTTTGAGAAGTGAGAGATAGATGCTTCTCTTTTGAGATGGGAAACCCTTTCTGGTGGCTCAAGAGAAAAATCTTTTTGTATTATTTCATAAGCTGCCTCATTTTGAGTTGAATCTCTTACACTCATGATTTTAAAGAGCGGTCTCTGAAAGGAACAGTTACCTCCTGCAGAGACTGTTGATGTGGATAGTGGTTTCTGGGACTGCCAGACTACAGTTATCTTGATCCCATTCCACTGGCTTTAAGAATTCATCATTGCATTTGATGGAAAAATAAACCTATTCCTGGCAACCGCAGAGCTGTTGCTAGCAGATCTGTAGAAATCTTTAGCCTCTGACAAGAAAAGCTTATCGGAGTGGTATCTGAAGTGTTATCTAGAGCTGATGGATTATTATTATTTCTTTTTTTCCTCCCATGGCTCTGGAGTCACTGCTTGACTCTGAAGTCAGGACGTGGGTAATTGTGTGGGAACACTGCTTTGAGTCCCCGCTGGTGTAGCTGGACCTCTGCACTGTCAGAGGGAGTTCAGCAGTAGCCAGAACAGTTGAATTGCACAGTCCATATCTACATTTCTTTCTTTCTTTTCTTGCCCTCTTGGTAATAATCCTGTGATTGTGCTCCACTGAGACTCCGTAGTTGAGGGGGAACTGGAGTAACAGTTGTGTGCTCACTGGGGGTGTGCTCACCCCCAGTGCTGGGCACCAGGATGGGGAGGAGACTGTGAACACCTTATGTACATTCAAAAAGCCCAAAACACTTATGTGTTGAAGTGATAAGCCTTCTGTTCATCTGGTGTGAATGTTCATGCAGGCTGCTTGCTTTGAAGAACTTGGTCTTGCTGACTGTGTAGCTTTGGAGTTAGTTTATGGGCTGAAGTGAACAGGGGTGAGGTGCTGTGACTTGGGTGGGAGTTACAGAATGGCTTTAATAAAACAGGCTTTTTTTGTGTGAGCTGGACAGGATGTGACCCTGGGCTGTTCTAAGGGATTGTAGCAACTTTGGCCTGGTGAAAATTGCTTTCTCTGCTTTTGGTGAGACCTTTTATTTTTGCGGTTATGTATGGAACCAATGATTTCTTAAAAGTTGCTGTTCTTTTTGATTTGTGTAGGACACCTGATGATCTCTCAAGGCAAATTGTGGCCCTGCAGCAGAGGGAGATCGTGCTGAAAGAGCAGAACTCCACCATCACCAACAGGTAAGTGATACCGAAGTGTCTCGCTACCAGCATCCACTGCTATATTAAAGCATATATAAAGAAGACAGACTGCAGCCCCAGAGGATGGCTTTTTAGATTTCCCTGCTGCTCTGTGGAACCTTCTATGCTATCACTGTCTTTCCTGTGTTGATGAAGAGCTTTTTGCTTACTTAAATCCTTGCAGGAAGGAAAAGATGAAGAACTGTGGGAGGATGCGATGAAGAGTTTATCCAGGCTCAGTTTATGTGCTAAAGTGTTTGAAAGGGGAAGGAAGCTGCTTTCCCCAACCATTTGACTTGGAAAGGGAATACCACAGCAAACTGCAGTAGTCATCTGGGTATGGGGAGGGATTAAGAGCCCTGAGAACTGTGATTTGACTGCTTGGAGGACCAGTTTGTATAGATGGTGGTGGAAAAGGATGTTTTGGTGGCGAAGTACTGCTACGCTTTGGGAGGAGCAGTCTGTTCATGGAGTGAGACGTATATTTGAAACTAGAGGGTGTTTAAGCCTTTGCCCTGGTGTGGGAGTGAATAAGGGAAATGAATTTCTCTGCCAGAGCTTAACTTTTCAGACAACATTGGTTACACACAGCATTTCTTAACATGCCTCTGTAGCGTGGCAGAAAACACTTCTCATCTCAGTGCACATATTCTTGCTTCTCACCCTGTTTCTTTCCTCACATTAGGAAACATTGTCTGTTCTTGTTAAAAAAACCCAATACTTCTCTCTTTCAAAAAGGCCCTTGGCCTGGTTGCATTGCCAAGGTGTTAGCTGACTTCTCTAAGCAAGAGAAGTGTGGAGAATTTCAGCCTTTGGTGTAAAGATGGTGAGTGTAAAGCAGTCAAACGCTGTGTCATGGAGCCCTGGACAAGCACTCTCTGTTTGTCTCAGGCTGCATTTGCTGATGTGTCTCCTGAGGGATGGGGGAGATTTTGGTTCAGGAGATGATGGTGTTCTGGGCTCCGCCTTCAGGATTCAAGCTGGTTGTTAAAAGCTTGGTGTGGGCTGCTCTTAATGAAACCGTTTAGTCAGTTGTAAAATTGTTAGCCAAGTGTCAATTCCCCGGAGTGCAGGCGGCCAAATTGTTCTGTGGTTTTTGCTAAGAAGTTCAAAAGGGAGGGAAAATATCTCAGCAATATAAAGAATACATTTCATATATTAAAAATAAACCAATCAAACCCACAATTGATCAAATGATCAAATAAAAGAACAATGGTAATGTTTGAGTTATTGATTTTTTTTTTTTTCAGGCTGCTTCTCTCAGCCTGTCAGAGAAATGCTTTTCTAAATTTATTACTGGCCACAGGGAATCATCTGTTGAAAAAGCAGCTTTTGGGTAGTGCCTATTCATGCTGGATGTAATTGTGCCAATTTAGTTTAAAAGTAAAAACATGATTAAGATTACTTTTTGATTTCAAGTGAAATGGGCTGTAAAGCTGCCTAAATTAAAATTCTAACGTTTTCTTGATGCAATGCTGTGTGTCATTTCCAAAACGGATAATTTTGGCTTTCTTCTGTCACATACCTTATTCTGTCTTAAAATGTAGGCAATGAGATACATTTTTAAAAACCTTTCATTACAGATGATTTGAAAGTTCCCAGGAGAAGATCTTGAGTTTTTGGAAATAAAACCTTGTTAAGGAAGCAAACCTAATTTTCTCTTTTCCCTGAATGACATCCAGATTTAGCTGATGGTCTTCTCTTTTATTTATTTCATAATTGTGTTCGGAATGGTCTGTGCATTAGAGTAACTTAATATGTGACCGTGACTCCCTCTAGTGATTGAGCCCAGCACTTATTCTACTTTCTATTGTGTTTTTCAGCTACAAGTTCTTTTAGTTGAAATGTCTTCAGTACCAATAGTGCTATGTTTGGTTTATAGTTGGTGGATGTGTGAGTATAGAGCAGTGTGCAGTACAAAGACATAAGAATTTTTGCCTACCCTGAGAAGCTTTGATTAATTTTCTCCATTAAAATTAATGATGCCTAAGAAAACATCATCAGAAGTTGTCATTTGAACTTATTTTTTTGGCAACGACGTGGAGAATCGCAGGTAGCCCTGGCTTCCTTGTTGCTAGAGTGGAAAAATTCAGTTTAGCAGAAGAGGTTTGAGAGTGGTGTTGGAGATGGGGATGTGACCCTCTTCCCTAAATGGCTGACGCTTTGTGGGGTGAGTGGATGTTTGGTTGTCTCTGAGCTTTAAGCACAGGCAGGAGAGTGCCTGGAAGGGTTTTTCTCCAGCTGATGATTCTTCCTCTCAGTCTTCACACTGCAGTCTCCTTACTGTTTGTTATTCCCAGGGATGGTACCTTTCCCACACTGTTTAGTGACTGTGATAGACACTTGCCAGCTTCTATTTGCCTCACAACCTGACAAATAGTCCCCAGTTTCTCTTCTCAAGAGGAGCTGCTCGGTAGCCAAGCAGGAGTTAATCGCTAATGTAGCGGAATATGAGCAGGATTGACTTCAGGAAACAAACCAGGCGTGGAAAAGGTATCACAAGGGGACGATTTGCTGTGTAAGGTCCCATCCATTTCTGTAAAACTGGAGACAGATCTGTCTCAACTGCTTCTTAGTGTCCCTTAGATGATCCAGAATGGAGAATTATGGTACACAAACACACTGGTAACAACATTTTCCAAATGGCATATGGCTTCCCTAAACAGACTGTATTTATTTTGTCTCATTCTTCCATTCTTGAACTGCTCCTGTTTATTACTGTATATTTTTTTTGTTTGTTTTTAGAGCCACTGTTTGTTATTAAAAAGGCAATATATGTCATCACACCACAAAAAGGCTACATCCCTACAAATCATCCTTTGCCTCGATGTTCAGGGATCTGAAGCACAATCTGTGTTTGGCGTAACCCGCGCAATTGCCAGTGTCTCAAGGCCTCCCAGGGATCAACTGCTGATGCATTTGATGATGCATCTCCCAGGGATCACATTTGCCATATCGCTCAGATTGGGTGTTTTTAAGACACAGAGCCACAGGACTGCATTTTCTGAACAGTGGGTTTAAATCAATTTCTTTTACCGGTGATTGCTTACACGTTGGAGTTGTGTGGGCTCCCTTGGAGCTGGCTGCTTCTGCTGGGGAGGAAAACCTTTCTGCAGTGCCAGTGTGGGGAGAGAGGAGGGGGTCACTCATACTGAACACATCACCGGCAACTCTCTTCCCTTCCCAACAGCAGGATCTCTGAGTAAAGGCACTGAAAGTGCCGTTAATAGCGAGTGATGGAATCTCACAGCTCTTCTGGAGTGTGTTACTCCAAGTTGTGTAAATAGAGTAAATTATACTTTCAGCAGTAACAGCGGGAAGTAGCGTGGAGCTCTCTAACTGCAGAACAAAGATAACAATCCAAAGGTTTAAAAGCTCAAAAGAAGATTGCTTAGGGCCACTTTGATAGCATGAAGTGTATGTGCTCTGCTGTTCCGGAAAAGGTAATGGAAGGTGTTTTATTAGTGGGTCATTTTAACCATGCAGCCATCCTTAGTTTACACACGTTTTCCCCCTGGAGTGTGAATGCTACAGGCGTGGGATGTTGAACTGTACTTTTTCAGCAAGAGTTGATGGTTGTAGCTTGTAATATGTTAAGTCAGCCAAGCTGTTTATAAGCTTTTTTTCTTATGGAAAAATGATGTAGTCGTTACTCTTTTTTTTTTTTGAAGTGAGAAAAGCTGTATATTTATTTTTCTAGGATCCAATCTGCATATTTGACGTCTCTGGAGAGATTTCCTAAAACAATCCTGGCAGAGCATTCTAGAATTTGAAATGTAGGGGAAAACTTCCCTTCTAATCAGTGTTGTCCTCTGGCACTGCTTACAGTTTGATCTTTGCTTCAGTTCTGAAAGACAGGCTATGAAAATACTTTTTTTTTTTTTTTTTTGCTTACTTGTGGTCCCTCCCAAAGTGATCATTTCTTTCATACTTTTGCTCTAGTTGTCTAAGTGTAATATTGACTTTGGACCGTTGAGATATCTTGTAGGAAGTCAAATACAAGGAAACACATACTGAGGAGGATGAAGGACACAAAGGGAAACAGAAGAGGAGTAAATCTTTGGTTGTGGGGTTGGGATCCTGGAGCTGACGGCTTATTTTCATCCCCTTGTGTCAGAAACCCAGCCATGTGTTTTGACATATAGTTTCATATGTGAAAAGGGATACATAGAATAATATTTTCCTTCTCCAAGTGCTCATAGAGTTGTGTTAAGACACATGGTTGTTTACCACCTTTATTCATATAAATCTCATAAAGCTGATTTACCCAAACAACCTGCTGTCTGTGTTAGCACTTAAAAATGAAATAACCTAAACCATTGAAGGTTGGGGAATGGAGATTGCAAACTGAACAGAAAATGCTTTTGAGTTGGGCAGCAGGGATTTTTTTTTAAAAATAAATAAAACAATGACTGAGTGATGATAAGCTCAGAACTGTCCATCTCTGTAAGTGCTGTTAGCTCAGAAGTGTGTCGTAAATCTATTGCCCATCTCCTCTTTTCCTTGGATGTCCCAAGGAGTGTCAGTCACAAATATAAATAGAGCCCTTCAGACTCCTTCCCCTAATCTTCTGGAAAGTTGGACAGAAGTTTAATTACAGTGAAATGTCTTTTATCTGACAGAGGGAGAAGTGCTAGCTTTTTGATAGGCTTTATGAGTTATTTTGTGATCAAAAGAAGCACTTAATGTCTAATATAGGACAAGGTAGGAATCTTTTTTTCTTCTCTTGTTCATCTATATGGCACATTGTGCCTTGATTTATATGTGGAGCTGTGTGTGTACCTAATACCAGACAAATGTTTATTCACGCTGCTTCAGGGCAATATTAACTGCTGACAGGTTCTGCATTCATTTATGGAGTAATATTATGAAGAAATGACTAGTAGCTATTGCTTTTTCTTTGCTCCAAAATGGATCTTTCATGCATTTTTATACCAGAAGGTGGTTGATAGTGTCCCATTAAGTGACCTATCTACTGTCTCCCGATAAACATATTCAAC